AAAATCGAATACTTTACGTTAAGGTAGTAGTAGTATATGAACCGTATTTTTATTTACGACTCTATAACTTGTTACAGAATCTACTTGATATAGACCACGTGATAAAAGAACATAAATATTAGTTACGCCTGTAAATGGTCAACCAAATACTAATTATATTATAAAAAGTTTATTCATTTGGCTACATAATAACCAATGTACTTTTATAATTTTTAATTGTGTTACAAACAAACAAAAATTACGTAAAATGAAAAACAAACAAAAATTAAATAAAAAAAACTTAAACCATTCATTTTTCCAATAACATCCTATTTAAGTATTAGAGATATTATATAATTTATATACATGTTTAATATAGACCATAAATATTGTTTAACAATATACAATACTTGACAAGTAATTTGCATAAAATAAATACTATGGTAGTTATGAGTCGCACAACAAGTATAATTATCATACATAATTATATTTGTCACATGATTCAATTTATCCTTTAAGTGGTCAATTATAAAGGTTAATGCTATTAGTAATGTTTTTAGGATTTTAATGACCAACATAATTATAAATCTGCTATTAATTTGTGACTTCTTGCAAAAAAAAAACAACTCATAAAACTAAAAGTCAGATCATGTAGATTTTCTATAATTTAATATTATCTTCGCCTTTATCCAATAATGTTAAATCTATATCTGACATGGTCATCAACATTCAATTTATTTATGTACATTTGTATTTATAATAACACGATAAAATAAATCCTAACAATTGTATTTATTTTTCAAGTCTTATCGTCTCGCAAGTTAGTAACATCTTATCAGTTCTCCCTTTAAAATTTCTGCAGTATAAATGATTATATAAAGAACGTGACAATGTTAACACCTAAAAGACCATTGATAATAGTTGCATATTTATAATTATTGATTGTTTTTATAGTTTCAAGCTGTTCTCAAGGTGTATAACATTTTGTGGGTCAAATTTGACCCCGGGGAGGTAGGTGTGTTGACCAACTTGCAGCATCCAATCGAAGCGTAATTAAGTGAAAACTTGTAATCCGAGCGGCTCTTACTCAACACAGTTCTTTCATTTTCTTGGTTTGTTATTCGACCAGCTATTATTTCTCGGTTGGTTGATGTCATTGCGGTTTCGGCCCCACCCGACGGGGGGTGGTCTTCAAGTGATGATGACGCAGATAATGATGATGATGGTTATACGTGATGAAAACGTTAAGGAAATTGCAACTCGCTTTTAATGCGCGGCCGCTCTGATATATGTATAAATTGATAAAAAGTCCTTTTTAGTTGCGCCGAAGGGATTAAGATTATTTCCGTTATCGGTGGGCCGTTTGATATTGGCCGCCCATATATTTATTTCGAGCACGTTCAAACAAACATTTGTCCCTCGAATTTGCTTATCGCCGAGCAGGAAAAAAAATAGGCAGACAATCATCAAATAACAAACCCGAAACAGCGCCATTTCGATAGCCGAAAATTAGCGAATACAACAAAATGGATTATTGCTAATTCTCTTGCACAACATTATTCATCTTTTACCATTACATACAAACTTTTTGGAAATCTCATTTAATCCGTACAAATTGGGAAAACTTAATATTGGAGTTTATAAGAGTTCAATTTTTATCAACAATCACTTTGTAAATAAATCTACATAAATTTACAAAAATATATTGTTATATGTATGAGAAAAATCATAAATGTAAAATTCATTAATTAAGAATCTAATCAATATATAAAATTAAAACTGTGAAATTTTAATAATAGAAATGAGAACTTATTTATCAATCGAGTGTATTGTGTGTATCTGTAATGTTAAGACTTGTTTCTCTAACAAATCATCTTAATCCTCTTCTAGAAAGGCATTTCATTGAAGTGTTATTTTCAACTGAAGTTGTTTAACTATCATAAGCATTCACGTACCTGACGTGCGTCACCCGACTTACTATTAAAATATCGTTTACTTGTTTACACACTTTAAAGAAAACCATTGAATTGTATTTTTTTCTAACAAACAGTAATTAAATAATATAATAGAATAGGCAGAAAGACCTATGGTCAATAGCCCTTTGTATCAGTTAACTTTTTTGAAATTATATATATTTATTTTTTTCTTTTTATTGCTGTTTATGTTTTTTTTGTACGACTGATGTAATAAACATCATTATTATTAGTACATAATACAAAAAGTTTAGAAAATTAAAACAAATGCTTATACAATTATCTTGTTTTCATAAATTTATTTTAACCAATGGCCTTGTTTATATGCGATAATTGTTTAACATGAAAAATCGAATTGACAGTAATTTCAATTATTTTTATTGATATTTTACAGCCAATTAACCAATCAAATTTAATTAAGAAAATTCCACAAGGAAAAGAAATTATTCGAACAAAAATGGTATTTTTTTTTGTCATAACAATCAGTAGTGGATTGTAATGTTATTGAATGCAAATAAAATTAGTCAATAAGTATTTATATCTTTTAAGTAAATAATAATAAAAATAAATTGACTGTTAACAATTTTATATTCACCACAAAATGCGAAAATTAATATAGAATTTGGACAGAAAGACCTATGTTCAATAGCTCTTTATATCAGTTAACTATTTTGATTATTTGGATTGATTATATGTATTTATTTTTTTCTTTTTATTTCTGTATATGTTTTTTTGTACGACAAATGCAATAAACATTATTATTATTTATAAAAATCGAATTAGATTAGTTTAAATAAATTTTACTAAAATTTTGTACATGTGATTTATGATTTTCTTTATTGATTATGTCTGATTTAAGATCATTAAACTGTAACGTTTATATTGTTATAGTAAAACAATAAATATTATTATTACTCGTAAATAATATAGATACAAATTAAACAAAGGCTTAACTTTTTGAACAACCTAAACATAATAAATTAATTTACGTGTAAACAATCGTAACATTGTAATAATTAATTAAGCTTCCGAAATCTGTGTCATTTGGTAGTTGGGAAATTAGCAAAAATGAAGTGCTTTGCAAGAAAACCGAACGGACTTACGGTCCTTCTCCTTTTTTGGAGGATATTTTAATAGCATGGCCAATAAAGCAATTATGCGTTATAAAATGAACACATGTGAGAGAAGAGAACTTCACCATCGATCCGCTCATTCGTGTTGTTTCTTTTATCCCGTTTTTTTTAATACATCTATTTTTCCCCCTTAGTTTTATAACAGTGCGCACATAAAAACGAAAAGAAAGAAACGTAAACCGAAACCTCAAAAGAACGCGCGGCGCTCGTATTTTAAACAAATTTGGAAATTTATATAACCTCACGCGCTTGTAAATACTGCATGATAATCAGCAATAAACGAGTAAATGTCAGCTGAATTTATTCTCTTTCTGAATTAATTACGATTTTAATTAGATTTGAATTACAAATGTGTTCGTGCGCTTCCCGCAGAATGGTAAAATAATGCCACCAGTAAGAAGTCGTCGTCGTCGTCTGGTAATAATTCATGACGTATTTGGAAATATTTTGACCGGCGTTGGTCAAAATTCCGAGACAGATCTTTCCGCATGATGGTGGTGCTGCCTTTGTGACCATTTCACACGATTTTGGGCAAACGTCAATTCGCTACGTAGGCTGCACCCAAATTGAGACGTCCACCTTTGATGTCCCACGCCTTTCGTCCATTTTCAAGAATACCATCTCTTTTCTTCTGCATTTGCCGCATCAGCCCAGTAGCTTTGACCTTAGGGAAATCATATTATACAAAAATTTCACGCTTCCGAGGTAAATTTACCTCACAATACATTTGGAAGATGCTATTTCATGAAGTTATCGTAATGCCCGTAACGAACTTTGCGTGTATTGTATGAGTATCCGTATTGCAGATTTGTCACAACTTTGGGTTCGATCTACACAAATGCCGCCGCCGCCGCCGCTTCGCAAATTTAAAACACACATTTTCACTTAAAAACGGTCACTAGGTTACATATTGAACAAGATGTTATTATTTAAACTAGAATACTGAATAGTTTTATTTTTAATAAATATGTCAATTTTCTTGTTTTCTTTTCACGCAAAAAATTCAAAAATGTACATCAGTATTTAAATTAGCAAATGTTTTGACGATAACATGAAAATAAGTAATCCCATTCGTGTTCATCAATACTCGTATTTAATAAATTAATCGAAATCAAGGTATTTTTTATCTATCATCCATCGAGTCGGAAAATGTAATACGTATTTACTTTTACGAATTTTTATAGACCAGCTCTTGAAGTAACGGACAAGTTAAGCCTTGGGCAAACCTATGAGCGGCGCTTGAGATCCACTATCCAAATATCCTGACGCAATCAGCATTCTTAAAACACGAATAATACTCACTATTTGACATATATTATGCATGCACTATTTTCGTGGAAGTAGATCTCAAATTTCCAACTTAATTAAGTAATTATTTACTAGACTCTTTTTGTCCCAATGGCAATGACGTAATATTCGTTTTGAAACGACTACTACATTTTTTTGTTGTAGACTTTCTGAGAATTTGATTTCTGTTTTGCCATTTAAATTAAGCAAGATTAAATTTAAGATGTTCCAGCTTTACTCAAGAAACATTAATTGGAAATTGTATATATTGGTATGTTTAGACGACGTAATATTAGGTATGAACAAAAAAAAACGCAATTAATATTTCATACATATATTTGATAAAATGTTTAATTAAATTAATCTATAGCAATGATAATACTGATCAAATGAGACATTTTCTATGAGAAAAAAAAAACGAGTACAGAATAAAACAACATTATGGAAATAATATATTAACTTTTGCACAAAAATACGTTTAATATTAATTACACATATTTGAAAAGCCTAAAAACAACCACCCATTTACGTTTTGTATTTACAATTATAATTTATATATTAGATATTTAAATAACACTTTTTTTTTACAATATATATATATACATATATATATTTATATATTCCTGTGCTAATTATATTAAAGCAAAATTAACTATTCCATATTAACATAAGGTTAAAATATAACGTGTTTTTAGTATTAAAAAATATATCGTTAAAGGCTGATTTTCTTAATTAAAGCGTCCGCAAGAAATGCACCATTAAAAATCTCGATGTAAACGGTACCGTTTATAAGTCTGAAGCACAACATTTATTACACACATTCAAGAATTTCCTGTAAAACAGTGATCACTCTGCGCACTCGGGTACGTGTCATCATCCCAGAAATGTTGCACGGGTCACATTAGTTGAGGTGAAATCTGCTGGTCGATAATACCTTGTTGCTGATGCTGTTGGATCTGTTGGGACTGCTGCAGCTGGATGATATCCTTGTGGGTGAACTCATCGCGCTTCTTACCCTGCTTCCTTTCCTTGGCTCTGCGGTTTTGGAACCATATTTTCACCTGCCGTTCCGACAAGCCCAGTGTATTTGCCAGCTCTGCTTTCCGACGGATCGTGATGTATCTGCTGTAGTAAAACTCCTTTTCCAATTCGACCCTTTGATGATCCGTGTAGACGACGCGGTATTTATCCTTAGTTCTCGTCTTCCCTGAAATTACATACACACATTTTTAGGCTTCCTTTTCTCGTTGTTAGGGCAAGTTATTAACAGGCTTAGCTGCATGTTTGGCCTTCTAATAGCTCTTAAGTGGGTTGGGAATGGGTTAAGAGTTCCCAGAAAATCCGCTCCTTTTCTTGCAACCGGGGCATCCTCGAAGAGAATGATTAGAAAACAGTACGGTATATTCCAGGCTCGCGTGTAATAACACAAGTAAATATTTTTTGATAGGAAAATTACAAACGTATATAAGCCTGTGTCATTTGTTATAGCAATTCACACTTGCAGTTAAATTAAAATATATTTTGGACATAAATTTAAAGTGATCTGCTGTAAATCTCTTCTCTTGTTCTTCGGGAAGGTCAGAGGTTTTATGTCACATTTTATGCAAGTCCATTCCCGACTGTTTTTTTAATAGCCTCGTCAAAACTAAAATGAATATGCTCGGGTATTTTCCATCATTGTAACCATTTAATTATCCAATTTTTTTTATATATAAATTTGCAAATATTTAAGGTATCTCCAAAGATTTATCTACAAGATAAATGTCTTATGAGATTGTGCGCCGAACCAGTTCTGGCCAGTTTAAAAATTGTTTTTTAATTTTCAAAGTTTTAGAAAAATCAAGCGGCTTTTGGTTCATTGATAATTATCACTTGGGCTCTAATTAGCCTAGAGGCAGATGCCGTTCCGGTCGTTCAAGAATACCATCTAAAAGAAATAGATAAAAATCCTTTTCGACACCAATACAAGAAGAATTCACACACACGAATTTCCTCCATAATCGAGATTCCGGTGAAAATAAATATAAAAAAACGGCGATTTTCACAGAGAGCGAACGCGAACAATGATGGCAGACGAATAGCAAACACTGTTTCAAATCCGGATCTGCTTGGCTTCGGTTCGCACGAAGCCACACCAACCATCACACAATTGCCGCCTCCGCTATTCACTTCATCCTTTTCTTTTACTGAATTAATTTGATGTGAATGGTGTGTGTGTTTGGGTAGGCGATGCGAGTGTATAAGGTCTTTAGCGAAATAAAATTAGCTGAAATTTCCTAAGTGCAAATGCAAATATTGAATATTTCATAAAATCTCCTTTAAAGTAGTAACAGTTTAGCACATTCTAATATAACAACAATATTAGCTCAAATTTTTACAAACATTCTCGCTTCGATTCGGTGTTTTGAAAACTAAAAATGAACCCGACAACTCCGCAAACACTTCGCGTTTATCCTTCTTTTTTTATTCCATTTCAATACTTATACTCTTTTTGCTTTCTTTTATTTGTCGCCATTCACTTTTCTGTTTGCTTTTTAATCTTAGTGTTAATTAGTCTATGGTTGTGTGTTAAAATGTTCATTACTTTCTTAGAGTTCTAATTACAGTTTAAAATTCATGTCAACGTAGACTTCAGTCTACAATAATAAATAAATATTCACAATTAAAAATCATGCACTGTACAAAGTATAACAATAAAAAAAACTACTTAAATTTAATGTTAATATATAAATACTTTTTAATATTAAACAGAAATACAAAATACTAGCACATATCAAAAACAATAAAACAGATGAGTTAAGAGCATTTAGTTAATAAAATTCCAGAGCATAAAATGCGATTGCACCAATTGGAGTAATCCTAATCGTATTGATCAAATACGTTTTAATTGTTCGATCCGGTGTAATATAATTTAATGTCCTGTCACGTTCGGAGTGATACGTTGATTCAGTATCATCGAATCTGCGGCGAATTCAACGAAGAGGATTGCTCTTATCTGCGTGGAATTATTTACAATACATCGAAGCACTATATTCGACACTGATCTGGTGGATTTCCGTTATCTTAACGCACGTAGGAATTAAAATCCAAGTACTAAAAACAAGTCCAGAATGCCAAGTTGTTTACAATTCCATTTCCGGTTCCTGCGGACACTTTGTCGGTGAATTCCAAAAGGCGAGTTTCTGCCGTCGCCGGATCGCATCATCGATAAGAGATGATATTTACGATCATAAAATAGTCTGACAATTTTATGTACAATTATTCAGTAATAATTTAAAACAGATTTTGTTGTAAAGTTTAAAAGATTTATTTGAATTAATTAACAAACGTAAAAATCAGCACATTGTAGTTATATAAACACATTCACTAGCCTCGTATAAAAAATAACTTTTTCTATATAACAGTTACGATGTATAAGCAAAACTATTAATTCGATGCATTAATATATATATACATTAAATAATCTTTGTGGTGCATTCGAAATTAATTTTTGCGATTATTGCAATCAAAAAGGTAAGGTTTTGTATTAATATTTTTATTTGATTCAATAAATATTAACGACTTTACGTAATCGTTACATTAATTAAATATGAGCTAGAAAAAAAAAATTGCACGTTAAAATATAAAAAAAAAAAACATGAAAAAAAAAATATTATGAAAATAATATAAAAATGAGATAACAAATAAATTGCACTCTCTGTATAAAGCAGACAGATCTAATCTAAATCACAAGTTGTCATGTAAAGTTGGAAAATCGTTTCCAAATGACTTAATGGTGGTATGTCAGCGGATTAAGCATACCAGCATTTGCAGTGCAATTTGCCTGCATCATATGCTGCTGCTGCTGCTGCATGAGCTGCATTTGGGTTGCCTGTTGTTGACTTTGTTGAAGTTGCTGCATTCTCTTCTCGTAATCTTGCATATGTTGGTGAATGGCGGGTGCTTCCTTATGGTTTTCTTCTAGCTTCTTCTTCAGCTGCTTGCGCTCTTTGGCTCTCCTGTTTTGGAACCATATCTTAATTTGTCTTTCTGACAATCCTAATGTGACGGCGATATCGGCCTTTCTTCTAATAGTGATGTACTTGTTAATGAGCGAAAACTCCTTCTCCAGTTCAAGCCGTTGGAAATCAGAGTAAACAACCCTGTACTTATCTTTCGTGCGAGTTTTTCCTATAACAATCGGGATTTGATGGTGAAGATAATTAGCTATATACATCGATAAAATATTATGGTTAAATTTCTGTGTGAAATGTTTGTTCGTATTTATAAATATATATATGGGTGTATATGTGAGTGTATACATATATATATATATAAAAGTGATATTGGTTTGTGTGTGATAAGAATTTTTTTGTTTGATACACGGATTAAGAAGCGGCTAGATGAGTCGCGGTCGGCTTGTTTGACTTTGATAACGAGTTCCCACCTGACAACAATGTCCTTTTTTCAAATGATTCTCAGGACGATCCTCATATTTAAATGCATATATAATATTCCATTCATCTCTTACACTAGTTTCCTAACCATAAGAACTTTTTGCAAAAACACTAAAATTTAGAATAATAAAACGCGAATTGCAAAAGAAAAAAAACATTTCATGCAGCAAATTATTTACCAGGGATGTCCTCAATAAGAGCATCACGTGCCGGTAATTCTAAAACAACAAATTGTTTGCCTTAGAAGTACGCAATAATCCTTCTATTTTTTTGCGTATATATATACATATATTAATATATTAAGAAAACAGAAATTATATAATTACCTGGATTCGGTTGACTCTGGTATCCGGTTTTTTTAATCCATTCGAATGGGCTGCGGGCTTGTGTTGATCTATTATTCTGCGGCATGTTCTGCGGGGATATGTTTCCGCTGACTGTACCAGGACTCGATACGTCGCTCCCGGACACCGTAATCGCGGGTGATGCTTGTTGTTGCTGTGCGTGCAGGTTATGAGTTTGAGTTTGTTGTTGATGCTGCTGATGCGTATTCTGTTGCTGGTGGTACTGCGCTTGCATGTGTTGCAAGGGCAGGGAGTTAAAATCCATGAATTCCTGGTGAAAAACGTGTGGTGCACCGTGCGGCCATACCTGGGAGGCCTGTTCATCTTGCATGCAATAAGATGATGTCGGTAACATCTGTGGGGCTTGTGTGTGATGATAGGTTCCTGCGTACCAAGGATGTATTTGTGCTGGGTGCATCTGTGCAGCTGGATGCAACTGAGCTGCTGGATGCAACTGAGCTGCTGGATGCAACTGAGCTGCTGTATGTAATTGTGCTGCAGGATGGGCTAATTGGGCTGCTGAATGCATTTGTGCAGTAGCATGTATTTGAGCTGTTGTGTGCATTTGCGCACTTTGAGATGGTACGTTTCCTTGCTGCCTATAAGCAGAAGGATAATATGATACCATATTCACTTCACTATAAACAATGTCTTCACTACACTCTATGTCAAGTTTCTGTTGATTATCCTTCCGCGATGTATGTATAACTAATAGTGTTCTCTAATAACTTTCAACTCTCAAGTTTCTGTTGGTTATCCTTCCGCGACGTTTGTATTTATAACTAAAAGTGTTCTCTAATAACTTTGCTAACTTTGCAAACTTTGCAAGCTAATGTTTACTGTGATACAGCACTAGTGGAATGCAGTACAAGACTGATGCTTCCAAATTTTTCGAGCTACTTATGTAGGCTGCTTGGGGATCATCGCAGGTAGTTGTAGGCGGCCGCAGGAGTGGGGCGTCGACCAATCACCGCTCGGGTTCACTATAATGGCTGCTCAAAGCGCGCAGCTACCAATAAACGCACTAATATTCCCAGAACTGTACAAATCTATTTTCTTGCATAAACATTAATATTACATATATCACCATTTGTTTATTATATTTTTAACAATAAATTATATCATTTAAACAAAAACTCAGTGCTAAATAAACAAAATCCTATATACAATTTGCAAACATGGACGATAGCTTTCATATTATTAAGAATTTTTTGGTGTTTGAATAAATATTGCTAGTAATAATATAAACAAAAACGTATAAATAAGATTTTAATATTAACATATTAAAATACCAAGCGATTTTCTTTAATTATTCCAAAACTAACGTGTACTATAATATAAGAATGTTAATTTTTCTATTTCATTTTAGTCATATATATCTGCTTCGAAATCTTTTTTTTTCTTAGACATCGCAATGAATATTATTTATTTATAACGTAGAAGTGCTTCGATTGTTACGCATTTGGTCCAAAATTTTGATTAGGACTTAACACCTATTGAACAAACTATTTATACCCGTAGAATTGAACGTGAAAAAATAACATATATTTCATTGATAATTTATAAGTAATATTGAAAATCGACGATTAAAAGCTAAAACACTTTGGTCTTTTTTATTTGTGTACATCTTCATCTTCATAGTGAATATAGTTTCACTGTATATACTATATGATAAATTATTGTTATCTTTGATAACTGATAGATTTCAATCAAATTTCTTTACGATTACTACTTTTCAGAAGCGCGTAAAGACTGCGGTCAATAGTCCGTAGTATGTATTTTTTAGTTTTATTAATTATAACTGAAATATAAATAATATTACACGTGTCAATATTCTGCTAAACAATAATTTGGTAGATGTCGATATTTGTTATACTTAGCCACAATAGAAATAACTCATTTTATAAATAATAGTAATTCACATCTGAATGTCTTGTCCATGATTTAATATTTATATTGACTAATATATTTAAATACATACTCAATTTTATAATAATAATAATAATATATTGGCCAAACATTAATACATAAAAAGAAGAAAAAAAAAGTACAATGTATACATAAATAAATTTATTTATTTTTCAATAAATCAATTATTTCCGTTGTTTTAGCTAATTCCAGCAATAAAAAGTGTAATCTTCGTATTTATTTAGGATTTTATTAAATTTAAAATGTAAAATATAACTAATAAATTTTATTCCAGCGTTTATAAAACCTCATTGTCACAACTTAAATAATAACTATTTACACATATTAAAAAACTTAACAAAATTATTATAATTTTTATAAATATAGAAAAAAACTCAAAACCATTTCTTAACATACTTTTAGGGATTAAAAAAAAGTATATGACTAGAGGAAAGCGATTTTTTTGGAAAATGACTGAATACAATTTCTATTAATATAATATAATTCATGGTAATTTTCATTGCGTTAATGATGAGGAGTAAAGAAAAAAAAGTGTTTTAAAAGTAAAAATATTTGTAGCAAATTAATTTAGTTTTAATTTTCTTATTATTTTATTTTGTTGAGTGTGTAGTATGGTGATTTGTTGCAATAAATGTTATTATTATTATTATTATTATTAAAAATAATAACCAATTGTAAATAACATATTGTAAACTTAAATATACCATATCAATCATTACTTTATGCACATAATGACCTACGCCCTTTATTTGCAAACGCCTCGTTATATTTTACTCATAGCTACTAATAAGTGCTATTGTAAATTAATTGTATTACGACTTAAAAACAGGTTATAAGTAACTAAAGTTAAAGCGTTTATAATATATTGCATACACATAAATTAAAGAATTTATTTATATGCTATTAGAAGTGTAAGATTTACTTAAGTCAATACTTCATGGGGAAAGGAAATAAATTAAAAATATGATTATTTATTATTCTTTTTGTATAGAAACTTTAATGCATTGAAATGACCTACGCCCTTTATTTGCAAACGCCTCGTTATATTTTACTGATAGCTACTAATAAGTGCTATTGTAAATTAATTGTATTACGATTTAAAAACAGGTTATAAGTAACTAAAGTTAAAGCGTTTATATTATATTGCATACACATAAATTAAAGAATTTATTTATATGCTATTAGAAGTGTAAGATTTACTTAAGTCAATACTTCATGGGGAAAGGAAATAAACTAAAAATATGATTATTTATTATTCTTTTTGTATAGAAACTTTAATGCATTGCAATTTTCTAAAATGAAAAGTAAATAGAAACAAAATATGTATCGTAAAACAAACAGCAGAAAAATGTGTGAATTGTACGCATCTGTAGTATTATGAAAATAGAAGTATATAGTCTTTGTTGCTTGGATTACAAATAATCTCTAATATTTAAAGATATTATACCAACATCAACATGTAATCATATCATTCTGAAGACTATTTACAAATTTGATAACATCTTTTGAATAGGAGAAACAGGGTTGAATAGACAGGATTGAAATATTGTTTAGATAATTTATTTTCTTTCACAAACAGTTTTTGTAATGTTATCATTATTTTCGAACTAAAAATAAGAAAATAGAAATACGTAAATAATATTATTGTTTATACTTTATTTTTGTTTACATTTTTAGGAAGAGAAAGTTGAGAATTTCCGTTAGTCGATTAAATGCTAACAAATGTTATCTGGGATTACGTTGACAAATGCAAACAGCAGACAGTTAGTGTTATAACATTTGGCGGCCAATGAATCATATTTGTCGAGGGGCGGCGGATTTTGAAATGCGTCCCAGAGGTTCGCTTAGCGTCGCGACGCCGCTTTGATTTACGGCGTCCCCATTTCCCGTACCATTCGAATCCGTGGCCGGCATCTGAATATTATTCTTTTTTTTGTTCTCGCTCCTCTTTGAACCTACTTCGACCCGCCGATTCGTGTTATTTTTCTAATTTTTTTTTTTGAAAAGAAGAACTTACTTTCGGAAAAGGGTTAACTCTGCCATAAAGTGTATTTATATTTAAATATGCCGATACGACAGAGAGATTACATGCCTGTTTTGTATTAAATATTTGGTACTGGAGAAGTGTTTCGCTGCAGGAAGCGTATAATCCATCAGGGGCAAATTTAACGCTGTAAATATTGAAAATTAGTCGGTAGTAAATTCAATATTTCAGGATCGTGCCACAATAAAGACTCTCTAAGCTACCTACACTTCGGAGATCCGTACATACAATCAACACCTAAATCAAGTGTAACTCCTCAATAATTACAACAATTTATCGCAATAAAAATGAGCAGAATATTTCAATAACGGTTATTGCCATAATATTTAATAACTAACTATAATAATAACTTAATAAACAAATATTATTCTATATTTCCGCATTCTGGCATTAAACTGTACATCAATAAATCAATTATTTCCGTTGTTTTAGCTAATTCCAGCAATAAAAAGTGTAATCTTCGTATTTATTTAGGATTTTATTAAATTTAAAATGTAAAATATAACTAATAAATTTTATTCCAGCGTTTATAAAACCTCATTGTCACAACTTAAATAATAACTATTTACACATATTACAAAACTTAACAAAATTATTATAATTTTTATAAATATAGAAAAAAAATCTGAAAACCATTTCTTAACATACTTTTAGGGATTAAAAAAAGTATATGACTAGAGAAAAGCGATTTTTTTGGAAAATTTTCGGCATTTCTCTTTTTACTGACGTTCGTAAAAAGATTAAAACCATTTAATTTATACTTTAAGGACTGAAAAACTGTCAGTGTACATTTTTTTGCTCGGTTTATGTCTGCACCTTTTTTTTTTATTATTTTTAAGTATTATGGAAAAAGTAAAAAGTCGACAGAAGTAGCCGCTGCCATAATTATCATATTTCCAATTTCAAAGCAGACGCGAATAGAGACTGAAGTCGTCGTGATAAATTTCCTTCTTGGAAATATTTGTGTTGCAACAACGCAAACATTCTCACATATTCTTTCCGTCACACATATTTACTTCTGAGACTATATCAAGAGAAAGATAATTGTGTTTGTTTAATTTTTATCAACGTACGTTCCGCTCCATTATGAATCTCACCAATACACCTGTTAAACTAGTTTAAATAAAGCCTCATTAATATTTCATTTAAAAAAATATATACAGTTTACTTATCTTTTTTCACATATGTTCTTTACTAAAACTTACATTAATTACAAGAATTTACTAAATTAGGAAACAGTTTTTCAATATCCTAATTTAATTCAATAAATAAAAATAAATGCAAAATCTGTTGTCACTTATTCATTTATTTGAAAAATAATCTGTTAATAAGCATATAATATAATAATAAATAAAGTGCGGTTAATAGCCCATTATATATGTATTACTTATTTATATATTTAAGCAATAAATTTTAGATAGTATAATATAAAAGTAAACTTATTGTAATGAATTATTGTATCTTAAGCTAAGCAAATAAATGTATCTTAGGTTGATGAAATAAAAAGTGAAATTTACATTTCTCTGTTTATTTATATCTGTTAATTACATTCAAAGAAGTTAACTACATTGAAACTACAGTTGTTTCAGCATGAGGATTTGTTTGGAAGAAGAAATCGCAATATCGATTGTGTCATCCGAGGAATAATTGATCTCCAGGGAGATGTAGCATCACATAGAAGTCGAGTATTGCGAGTTAAAAAAAAATAATTGCATTTAATGTTTTCTGATTTCGTTTCAATTTTTTAGTTGTTTTTAACATTAAAATGTACTTTTCCTTTTTTTGTTTGTTATTATTTTGTTGTTGACAAAGTATGTTTAAGAAGTTACAGTGAATGAAA